CGCTCTGGTCCATGGGGTCACGAAGAGTCGGACACGACTAAACGACTAAACAACAACAAAACAGACTTGAACAAGGGCTACACAAAGGGTTGAACTTTCATTACTAGCCACAAGATGGCAACATATTATTAAGTCTTAAAAGGTCTTCAGGTGAAACTCACAGGCTTGGTGAATGAAACCCTACTGCCTCATTTGGAAGCGGGGAGGTTAGGTGTAACCACCACCACCCCTGCCAAATTCTACAAAATTTGGGAGTGCTGAATAGGAGACACAATGTTTTCAAGATTCAGTATTCACAAAGAAAGCCGGCAGAGGTTAGATCCTGACTATTTCAGACTGCCACATATCAGAGGGGAAATTCTAAGGATCCAAATATTTGACTTGCTGTAAGTGTGGTTGGGTAGCCAGTGGCTTCCTTTCATGTGGAGTCATTAAAAATGTGATCCCCCCACGTACAGGTTAAAATAGCACAGTCCATTCTGTCGCCTATATTCTCATTCCCACTTGTTTGTTTACATAAGAGCATAAGAAGAGCCTGCTGGATCTAGTCCAGCATCCTGTTTTCACAGTGGCCAACCAGCTGCCCAGGGGGAGCCCAAATGCTAGAACTGAGCACAAGAGCACTCCTCCTTCTGAAGTTTACAGCAACTGATATTCAGATGCATGAAGCCGCTCCCAGGGGAGGTAGAAAATAGCCATCAGGATTAATTGTCATATTCCCAAGAGAATGATACATATTTGTTCTGCAAATATGCAAATATATATATACGCGTGCACGCACGCACACACACACACACACACACACACACACACAAAATTTAGATTTTTCTCTGCCTTGTTTTTCTGTTTTAGACTTTTCTCTGTTTCAATGCATGTGTTTATTTTTATTTTTTAAATTGCTTTATTTATTGTTGTAAGTTCAGCAGCAGCAAGAATACTCATTGGGAAATACTGGAAGACATAAGAATTGCCTACCTGAGAAGAATGGCAGAGAAAAGTGATAGACTATATGGAACTGGCTGAGATGACCGGCAGGATTCGAGACCAAGAAGAAGGGTCGATGGAAGAAGATTGGAAAAAATTTAAAACATATCTTCAGAAATACTGTAATATAAAAGAATGTTAGAAAAGGTTGGAGAAGAATATTAGACCGTATCGGCAGACAGAGTATAATGGAATAAGTAAATATGTAGTGTAAAATTAAAGATTGAGGAGAATTAAATATTTTCGAATGTTAAAATAAGTAAATGAAAAGAAGGTTAGAAGGGTTTGCTGGAGATACGATTCAAATTAGAATACAAAGCAGAGAAGTGAGAGGAAGTCACGGAAATACAGTGGTGCCTCGCAAGACGAAATTAATCCGTTCCGCGAGAGTCTTCGTCTAGCGGTTTTTTCGTCTTGCGAAGCAAGCCCATTGACGGATTAGCGCTATTAGCGCTATTAGCGGTTTAGCGGCTATTAAAGGCTTAAAGGCTTAGGGTATTAGCTGCTAAAAGGGCTATTAAAGGCTATTAAAGGCTTAGCAGATTAGATAAAGGGGGGGGGGAGCGAAAAAAAAATCTCTAGACTCGCAAGGTATTTTCGTCTTGCGAAGCAAGCCCATAGGGGAATTCGTCCTGCGAAGCAACTTCAAAACGGAAAACCCTTTCGTCTAGTGGTTTTTCCGTCTTGCGAGGCATTCGTCTTGCGGGGCACCACTGTAAGTAAATGGGAAAACGATCCTAATGGTTTAATTTGATTTTTTGTTATTTTTGAATTGTGATTTTTTTTGTCTTTTGTATTTTTTTCTGTATCATGTGTTGTTCTTTTTCTGTAGGATGTATGTGATTTGCTTTTCTTTTTTTGCTTTTTTCTTTCTATGTAATCTTAAAATTGGAATAAATATCCTTTAAAAAAAAAAAATATTTATTGTTGTAAGTTGCCACTAATAAGTTTACTAAATAAAAGTAAAATACTGTATTTTTCGCCCTATAGGACGCACTTTTTCCCCTCCAAAAATGAAGGGGAAATCTGGGTGCATCCTATGGGGCGAATGCAGGCTTTCGCTGAAGCTTGGAGAGTAAGAGGGGTCGGTGCACACCGACCCCTCTCACTCTCCAGGCTTCAGGAAGACATCCGCAGCCTAGGCAGCCCTGCGGGAATTCCCGGAGGGCTGTCTAGGCTGCGGATAGTAGCCTGCTTCCCGGAGCGCCGGGCGCGCTGAAAGCAGAGCTCCTGGCGCTTCGGGAACACATCCGCAGCCTAGGCAGCCCTGCGGGAGGTCCCGCAGGGATGTCTAGGCTGCGGATAGCAGCCTGCTTCCAGGAGTGTCGGGCGCCCTGAAAGCAGAGCGCCCGGCGCTTCGGGAACACATCTGCAGCCTAGGCAGCCCTGCGGGAGGGCCCCGCAGGGCTTCCCACGCTGCGGATAGCAGCCTGCCGCCCGGTGGGTGGGGCACCCTGAAGCAGAGCGCCCCGCGCGCCGGACAGACATCATCCAGCCCCACAAGCTCGGGGGACAGCAGGGAGGTGCAGCGCCGCCATCCCGCTGTTCCTCAACCTGGTTCGGTTTCCCCGACCTGCTTTTTGGGGGGGAAATAAAGGGGGGGAAATTTCCTTTATTTCCCCCCCAAAAAACTAGGTGCGTCCTATGGGACGGAGCGTCCTATGGGACGAAAAATACAGTAATAATAATGCAAATGTGCAATATAAAGCATGTGTATACAGTGGTACCTCGGGTTACATACGCTTCAGGTTACAGACTCTGCTAACCCAGAAATATTACTTCGGGTTAAGAACTTTGCTTCAGGATGAGAACAGAAATTGTGCTCCGGCGGTGTGGCGGCAGCGGGAGGCCCCATTAGCTAAAGTGGTGCTTCAGGTTAAGAACAGTTTCAGGTTACGTACGGACCTCTGGAACGAATTAAGTACTTAACCCAAGGTACCACTGTACTGCAAATATTTATAGCCGGCTAAATATGCATATTATAAATACACTGTAAATGTCTGCATGCTTAAAATTAAATACCATGATGCCTCCAAGCACATAGTCAGCCCTGGAACTGGTTTTCAAGCAAAGAACTGATCCCTTGGTTCTTTCACAGACAATTCTGCTTCTCTACGCTGAAAGTTCCTTTTCAGCAATCTAATATGGGAGGGAGTTTTTCCATTGTTGATTTTGTTAAGCCATCAGGAGTCGGAAACACTGCCAATCTACTGCAAATCACCCCTAGATATACCAGTGGATCCCAAGCACCTTTCTGTCCACACCTGGTCAAGGCTGCCATTGGGAAGCTGGCTTCACTCTACTTCTCTGGATCAATAATTCTGCTTGTCTTTCAGTTCAGTGTCTTGGTCAAACCTGCAAGGGAGATCCAGGGGCCTCTTCAGAGAGAATAAGCTTTCATGAACAGAATCGCATGTGCTTTTAGAATATACAGACCCTTGTTCTCATATATACTCCATATAAATTTCCACAATGGGATGTTTCCTTTAAGAATTCTGAGGTAAAGGAGCCATGTTAAGCTTAAAACAAAAACAAATCATAACAGCAAGAGAAAAAGTGGAATGGTCAGGTTTGTCCAATTCATTCACAAAACAGGGTCCCACATCTTCTGCCACAGTATGGTAGCTTTGAAAAAAGTCAACTTACAATGGAAAATGCAGCCATACGTAACCAGCGTTATTCAGATGCAAATCAGAAGTAAATTCAGCTGACTTGCACAAAGGAGAAACAGGTTTCTCGGCAGCCCCAAGCCAGTGTCATTGCAGAATATCACTGTTTTGAAAACAAAGACCCCCCTTTGTATGGAATATTAGAGATTAAGCTCAGTAGAGGGCCTCCAAATTATAGGTCTTGGTGCAGCAATGAAATAGCTTAGAAGACGACCCTAAATTGGCACCTGTATGGATGGGTGGGATGTCTTATACTTTAAAAGCAATATTTGTGGCTTGATACTTAAGAGTGACCACTGGGGTACTAGGGAATTGTCTAAGGAGACATTAGGTTTGAACAATCTGGTACGTTTTGCTGTCCAGTCACTGTTATTGAGTATACATGAGACTGTTACCTTGGATAATGAGTACTCAGCTCAACTCAAACATGTGGCAACACAGAAAATAAAATGCCACCAGCTATGAACTCTAACATACCCACATGTGAATAGATTTGGTTTTCATTTGATGCGGAATTCTTAAAACAGCCTCATTCTCGAGGAGCATATATACCAATGTGTGACTGTCAGCTAAAAATGAATTAATATGTATAGGACAAAGGATCATGCACTCAATATGTACAACTGTTGAGGGAGATTAGCAGCCAAACTTAAATGCATGTTCTTGCTAGTTAGCATGAGAATGGGTTAAGTCCACAGAGCTGAATTGCTGATAGGCAGCTGCTCAGACCATAGAAATACAACTGGTAGAGAGGGCTCTGTGTGATGTCATTTCCCCTTCTCTCCTGGGGCGAAATGAGCATAAAGTACAGTGGTGCCTCGCAAGACGAAATTAATTCGTTCCGCAAGTTTTTTTCTTCTTGCGAGTTTTTCGTCTTGCGATGCACGGTTTCCCATAGGAATGCATTGAAAATCAATTAATGCGTTCCTAGGGAAACCGACTTCAGACCAGGTCCGGGGACAGTCTGTCCCCGACCTCTTCTGAAGGCTGGGGGGGACAAGGGCTTTTCTTCCCACCCACCCCAGCATTTTAAAACCCCGGGACAGCGGAGGGCTTCTCCGCTGTCCGGGGCGATCTTAAAATGCTGGCGGGCGGCATTTAAAATTGCCCCGGGACAGCGGAGGACTTCTCCGCTGTCCGGGGCAATTTAAAGCCCCTGGGAAGGCAGGCAGGGGGACAAAGACTTTGCCCCCGCCAGCCTTCAGAAGAGGTCCTGGACCTCTTCTGAAGGTTGGCGGGGCGAAGTCTTTGTCCCCCCACCTGCCTTCAAAAGCTGTCCAGCCAAGGCTTCGCGGACCTCTCCGCAAGCAGCGGCAGCACTGCCGCTGCTTGCGGAGAGTTGCCGGCATGCCGAAGCCTGCGCGCGCTGAGATCAGCGCGCCCAGGCTTCGCGGACCTCTCCGCGAGCAGCGGCAGCGCTGCCGCTGCTTGCGGAGAGTTGCCGGCATGCCGAGCCTGCGCGCGCTGAGATCAGCGCGCCCAGGCTTCGCGGACCTCTCCGCGAGCAGCGGCAGCTCTGCCGCTGCTTGCGGAGAGTTGCCGGCATGCCGAAGCCTGCGCGCGCTGAGATCAGCGCGCCCAGGCTTCGCGGACCTCTCCGCGAGCAGCGGCAGCGCTGCCGCTGCTTGCGGAGAGTTGCCGGCATGCCGAGCCTGCGCGCGCTGAGATCAGCGCGCCCAGGCTTCGCGGACCTCTCCTGCCTTCAAAAGCAGTCCGGGATAGCAGGGAAGCGCTTCCCGCTATCCCGGACTGCTTTTAAAATGCTGGCGGTGGGGAGCAAAGCCTTTCGGCCCCCGCCAGCCGTCCTGGACCTCTTCGGAAGGTCGGGGGGGGGGGGGTAGGCTTTGCTCCCCACCGCGAGGCATTAAAAGAGGTCCCCCGAGATTTCCCAATGGGCTTTCGTCTTGCGAAGCAAGCCCATAGGAAATTCGTTTGCGAACGCCTCCAAAACGGAAAACCCTTTCGTCTAGCGGGTTTTCCGTCTTGCGAGGCGTTCGTCTTGCGGGGCACCACTGTACTTCCTGGTCCTCTCACTCTCTTTTCTTTTGACCAGCCAGGAGGGCAGATGTGCCCTGTGCTTGCTCCAGCTCCAGGCAGATGCCTGAAGCCAGTTATACTGTAAATATAAGTATTTAGCATGCACATATTTTACTGCTGCCATTGCTGTGAACCAATGCAGTATTATAAGTAAGTGAATTATATTTTTTAACTTACTTCCTAATTTGTTGCCTGGTTTTGTGTTAAGCAGGGTAAGAAAGAACTTCATGGTTGGACTTTCTCAAAACCAACTTTTGCAGCCTAATTCCTATGCTTTACAACTTTGCTGCCAAGGGTGGGATTTTAAAACTCTCTTTAAGCCCCACACATGGGCACCTGGAGGGATCAGTTGCAATTAATACTGTATATCCTTTCCTACCCATTAAAACCCATCCCACAATGATCACATATGCATCCAAATGACAGTCTGTTTATTGAACCAAGGCAAGAATGCCCTCTAGAAAAGTCTAGGCCAGAGATGGGAAATCTGTGGCCTTCCCAATGATGTTGGACTACAGTTCCCATGAGCCCCAGCCATCATGTCCAAAGATCAGTGATGATGGGAGCTGTAGTTCAACCATCATCTGAGGGGCCACAGGTTCCCCATCCCTGGTGTAGACTGTTGGGGCAGCAATTAGCAAAGTGATACCAAACAAAAAACCCAAACTCTTATTTTATCCAACTAGCTAGCTAGGGATGTAGATGCACCTTTTCCTCCAGTCCTTCAAACCAATATGAACATGCCACTCCAAAGTGTGGAGTGAGCTCCATGATATACAGTGGTACCTTGGTTCTCGAACTTAATACATTCCAGAAGTCCATTTGACTCCTAAAACATTCGAAAACCAAGGTGCAGCTTCCGATTGGCTGCAGGAGCTTCCTGCGCTCAAGCAGAAGCCGCGAAAGCCACGTCAGACATTAGGCTTCTGGAAAACGTTCGCAAACCAGAAGACTTACTTCTGGGTTTGCGGCGTTTGGGAGCCGATTTGCTCGACAACTAAGCCGTTCAGGAACCAAGGTACCACTGTATTTTGTCCCTGTATTTCCACAAGGCTATAGTTAATCTCCTTTCCACAACTTTTGCTCACTCTAACTTCCTTTTTAAATATAAGCAGAGCAATTCTAAGTTGGCAGTTGAAATTCAATGGCTGAAGAAATGCCAGTTCCTAAACCCTGCTGCTCACTTTAGCAAGGGTAGAAGGTGGTCGGCAACTTTTTCAATAATCAATTTGAATCTTCCCTTCTTTTTCCTCTGGGGGGTTGCAAGCAGAGATCTATTTGTTAGAATTGTGCACATTTATTACTGCATTTCATGAATAGTTCTTTTTATTATCATGCTATTTATAATTGTGGGCAAATTAATAAGTTTTCTGTATTTACAAGATAAAAACTATCATTTACATCTAATATTGGTAATAAAATGATTCCATGTGTCCTTTTCTTTCTTTCTTTCCTTCATTCTTTCTTTCTTTCCCACACAGAGTTGATCTGTGCTCAGAATCAAAGTTAACTTTCGCTCCAATCCTAAGCACAGCTGACATTAAAAATGATAAGGACAATAATAACAGCAATTAAGTCTGTGGGGTTTTTTCACTGTATAACATTTGTACATATGACACCTACACCCAAACTAAACACGGATGGAACCATTTTTTATCTGAACTCCATCAGTCATGCCAGAAGGAACAATACAGTCATTCTAAAACAACAAATGTTTCAAATAAATTCCCTCTTGTCACCGACTGTGCAATAAATATCGTGTCACTTGATTTGCTTAACATAAAAGCAATATAATTCTCAGTGTCTGAAGTCCCAGTAGGAACACACACACAAACCCACTCCTAATTGCAATTCTCATAATCAAAGAGCTGCCAGAATGCAACATTTTTATTCCATCCAGATAAAGAAGATCAATAGGCTGATTGTTATTACTCTCTCAGACCATGATACATTATTCAAATTGAGTATTAAAATTAAATGCAAAGTAACCCATTAAATAGCCTGAAAATGAATTGTGGCTTCTTTAGATTGAGCTTAGCCATGATCCTGTTGTAGTCTGCTATTGGCTTTAATTGTACCACCGAAATCCCTCTCCATCTGCCCATCAGGTAGCTGAATTCAACAAAAGCCTTCCACTGAAGACACTCCTAGCAATATAATTATCTCTTGGCAGCATATTAGCAATGTGTTAACTACCGGGCTGCCCAAGAAGGTGCCTCCTTCTCATTCCACATACAGAAGCCGACTGGACTAGCAGTTGAATATGCTGTTCAAGGGACAATGAAGGCCCTGAACACAGCTCCATCAACTAGCTGATGTTCCCCATCTACCCCACATGTGCTATATAGAGCTAGCCAGTCGCCAGCCAATTGCCATTGCAAAGAAGAGCTGAACAATTTCCCACCTCCCCTTCCATACACAGCTGCTGCCTGAGAAGGCCACCTCCTTATTCCTCGTGCAGCTGCACCCATTTGGGTATGGATGGAATGTGTCCATGTTTTATGCAAGTAATTTCCAACATCAAGCAGCATCGAGAATATTGTGCGCACTGTAAAGTACTTTTTCTATACCTTTTTACCTGGTCAAATATGCCTTCTTAAATTCACCCTGATAATCTGGGAGGCAGATCCAATTTTGCTATTTAGAATTATACAAAGAATGCAAAGGACACTTGGAGAAGTTAAAAGAACAAATCCAAATATTGTAATTTAAAAACAAATAATAATGACATTGCTTTTTTTTTTCTTTACATAGCACTGATGAGTCTTTTTGTTGGCTTCAAACAATACCCTGAAAAATCTGAAAAGTAAATATTGGAACAGGATGAAACAGCTTAAGATCCTGAACATGAAACTAACTGATGAGAAATTGCAAAGTAAATGTAAGTTTACTATAGGGAAAAAACCTGCCAGCCAGGGAGACCTATTAGGTTGAGGAACAATGTTCTAAGGCAAGTGGTGGAGTCTAATTTGGCATATGCAGTCTTGCACTGGCCAGCCTCACTCAGAAACTTATTTCAATGAGACATTGCAAATGGCCAGAACTGTTGAGAGATTCAGGACAAAAATAAATTCTTTGTCACACAACACACTTTGAATTTGTCTCCACAAGATGTAGTGATGTCTACTACCTTAGATGGCTTTAAATGAGGACTAGGCAAAGTCATGGAAAATAAGGCAATCAATTGCTACTAGTCATGATATTTAAATATTAATTCCATTATCAGAGATGATATTGCTTCTAAATACTAGGTGATGGGGATTGTGAATGGGAGAGGGCTATTGCACTCATACTTGTGAGCTTCCCATTGCCTTCTGGTTGGCCATTGTGAGAACAGATGCTGGAATAGATTGGTGTCTGGTTTAAGATAGCAGGGCTCTTCTTATATTCGGATGTCCTAAAAGTCTATCTGCATTGTAACTGCACATCTGGTATAGAGATTAAATTAAGGGTGGGAATCTGTAGCTCTCCTGATGTTGCAGGGATGTGGGCGGTGCTGTAGTCTAAACCACTGAGCCTCTTGGGCTTGCTGATCAGAAGGTCGCCGGTTTGAATCCCCACTACAGGGTGAGTTCCCGTTGCTCTGTCCCAGCTCTTGCCAACATAGCAGTTTGAAAGCACACCAGTGCAAGTAGATAAATAGGCAGGAAGGTAAACGGTGTTTCCGTGCTTCCATCACGGGGTTCTGTTGCGCCAGAAGCGGTTTAGTCATGCTGGCCACATGACCCGGAAAGCTGTCTGTGAACAAACGCCAGCTCCCTCAGCCTGAAAGCGAGATGGGTGCTGCAACCCCATAGTCACCTTTGACTGGACTTAACTATCCAGGGGTCCTTTACCTTTACCTAGTGGCCCTGCTGGCTGGGGCAGATAGGATATAGAGTCAAAAAATCTGGAAGCCCAGAGGTTCCCCATCCCTCATCTAAACAAAGTACTGGAAACATTACTTGGAAGACAAATATTTGATTTTGCATCGGTCTACTCTGAGTTGGATGAACATTGGCTACAACCGTCTGTACATTACAGGAACTGAGGGTGCTTCCAGATGGGTTTCATTGTGGGATTGCTGCTCCCCATGCACGCAAGATTTTTGCAGCATCCACATGATGTTGTCATCATCAAAGTAGCAGCCCATATCACCACCACCACTCCATTTATTCCAGTTTTACCTTTTCCGGGGGAAATCTGATTTAAAAACACACACACACAACCTGCTGCCAATGACAGGATAATCTGACTTTAAAAGGATTGGATAATGCAGATTCAGACACTGAGCCAAATGTTTCAGAACCAGTGTTAAACCCCCATCTGGAAGCAACTTGATTTTAGAACATCATCTTCATCATCATTAATATGCTGCCCATCTGACTGGGTTGCCCCAGCCACCAGCAAAAGCACAATACAACATCACTCTCTAAAAACTTCCCTGTACAGGGCTGCCTTCAGATGTCTTTTGAAAATCACATAGTTGTTTATCTGTTTGACATCTGCTGGGAGGACATTCCACAGGGCAGGCACCACTACCGAAAAGGCCTTCTGCTTAGCTCGTTAAAGGACTGCTTCGTTTGTTTCACTGCAACTGTTTCTTTCATCTGCCTTGCTTGTGAACCTTTAATAAATGCCTTAAATCAGAAACCTGGAGGTGAGTAATGAGATTTCACTTGGGCAATCTCACCCACACTGACTTTTCTGCCAACTGAACTGCTAAGAGGAGAGCTGGCACAGGCCAGTCTCTCCTCCCTTTAAGACACACTAAGTTTGAATTTCTATGTTTTCAGTCTATTGCAATAAAACGTGGGTGGTGATGGTGCTACTTCATTTATAAACTGCACCTTCCAGTGGTTCTACCTCACAAGAAAGGTGGGAGCTAAAGAAACTGATTCATAACACCCTCATTCCCCAGTCAAAATCATAACCCTGAAATAAATACATCAGGGAGAAGGCTAAATGTTTGTCCGCCATGTAAGCTTTTCACCCGGTGTGTGACTGGGATGAAAAGCTGCTTTCATACAAGCAATATCACCCATCAATTGTGAGGTGATAAAGTTCCATTAAAGGATTGTATTACATTAAGGTCAATCCAAATGTGAAGGAGCTATGACAGTGATTGGAGGGATAAGGGCACACACTGGTCCTGTTCCTGTCACACAGGAGGCTTTTAGCAGGCATGGGTCCCTGCAAAGTAAAGCACTCCTATTGCAAGAGGATTCCCAAAATGTGTATTTGCTGTCACTGTGTTTTTACTTTTTATCAAAAAACGAAGGGGAAGTATAGAGGATCTGAAGAAAAAGGAGAAATCACACAAAGGTGCTATTGGTTTTACACACACTCACTCTCTCTCTCTCACACACACACACAGAGAGAGAGATTGTTCTGTATTATTATGTGTACCAGACTCCAAGTTGTAGCAGGTTCCAGGGATTCCCTTGCATCCAGGGAATCGGGTGAAAAGCTTACATGGCGGACAGGTTCCAGGTTCCCTTGGATTGCTTTCCTTAGAATGAAGGTCACTGGAGACAAGAGATGGTGGAAAAATTTGCTGCAAGCAGAAGGAAACATCAAACTGGTCCATGATCTGCTTGCCCACTCTCTTTGCAAAGTGGTATTGCGTGCATTGACTTTCTGAATAATTCCCAATTCCAGGAGGGGAGGGGATGTAGAGAAGTTGCGGGGGAGGGGGATTTTCCAAATCTGATTACATTTGTTTCAATACTATTTAGTCACCTACCATCATCATCAATGTTTGCTCTTAACTGTGCTAACTAGGTACTGCTGAAATGAGCATTCGCTAACTTCTGTCTCATTGATTCACTGTTGAAGTGATTATGTTAACCATTAACCACCATTAAAATTCATCGTTTTATTGTTAACCTTTCTCTCTCCTTTTTGGTCCCCTGTGACTTAACAAAACGCTCACAAAAAGCGTAGTCATCGTATTATGTCTTAATGTGAATCTTTGATATTTGTTAATGTAACCAGAAATGGGTTTTACGGGGGTTTTGTGAGTGTTAAAATGCAGGTCTGTTGCATTTCTTTTGTAGTAACATTATTACATTATATATTATAACATTATAATAAGGTAAAGGGACCCCTGATCATTAGGTCCAGTCGTGGCCGACTCTGGGGTTGCGGCGCTCATCTTGCTTTATTGGCTGAGGGAGCCGGTGTACAGCTTCCGGGTCATGTGGCCAGCATGACTAAGCCGCTTCTGGCGAACCAGAGCAGTGCACGGAAACGCTGTTTACCTTCCCGCTGGAGTGGTACCTATCTATCTACTTGCACTTTGACGTGCTTTTGAACTGCTAGGTTGGCAGGAGCAGGGACGGAGCAACAGGAGCTCACCCCGTCACAGGGATTCGAACCGCCGACCTTCTGATCGGTAAGCTCTGGGCTCTGTGGTTTAACCCACAGCACCACCTGTTAACATTATAATATTATAATATTATAATCTGTTAACATTATAATAAATGGTTAATTATTACTTTTCACTAATGATCCATGCAAAAATACAAACTGAGGTGGTGATGGGGTTGTTCTTTTTTTCTGGGCAAAGTTTGACAATGGGTTGAGTCAGGAATCATAAGCACACCTTGCAAGCTATACTTGAACAATGTGGTTTTTTGTGGTAGTGGGGGCCTCCCTTGCACTCTTGTTCAACGTCAATATTTTAGGCTAGAGAGATTTCATAAACACAGAGAGCCCTGAAATTTATCTCATTCTAGAATTAAGTGGTTTCTTTGGCGGGCTGGGGGTGAAGGGAACACACTTGCCCTGCCCCTATAAAATTCATTTTACTGCCTTCTTCACCACCACTCATTTGCCATTAGTTCATCCTCAAAATCAGTACAATTTCTGAGAGGTGCTCTCTCCTGCCTGAAATCGTTTTTATATATAAATTTAGCCAATGTCAATTTTCCCAAACCACCCTACTAGATTCCTAGCCATTAAGCCACTCTCCCTGCAATTCATTACCATTCCAGTTGTTTGTGTTTAGTCGTTTGGTCGAGTCCGACTCTTCGTGACCCCATGGACCAGAGCACACCAGGCACTTCTGTCCTCCACTGCCTCCTGCAGTTTGGTCAAACTCATGCTGGTAGCTTCGAGAACACTATCCAACCATCTCGTCCTCTGTCGTCCCTTCTCCTTGTGCCCTCCATCTTTCCCAACATCAGGGTCTTTTCCAGGGAATCTTCTCTTCTCATGAGGTGCCCAAAGTATTGGAGCCTCAGCTTCAGGATCTGTCCTTCCAGTGAGCACTCAGGGCTGATTTCCTTCAGAATGGATAGGTTTGATCTTCTTGCAGTCCATGGGACTCTCAAGAGTCTCCTCCAGCACTATAATTCAAAAGCATCAATTTTTCGGCGATCAGCTTTCTTTATGGTCCAGCTCTCACTTCCATACATCACTACTGGGAAAACCATAGCTTTTACTATACGGACCTTTGTTGGCAAGGTGGCAAGGTGATGTCTCTACTTTTTAAGATGCTGTCTAGGTTTGTCATTGTGCTGTCTAGGTTTGTCATTCCAGTAGTACCACTTTAAAACAATTGTTTCCAGTGGAGCCTCCACATTCTGTGGCCATCACTCTTTCTGGTCAGAACTGCGGGGGAAATATCAATGATGATTACTGACTGAGTGTGCAATGACCAAAATAATAAATCTCTCTAGCCTAAAATATTGACGTTGAACAAGAGTGCAAGGGAGGCCTGGCTTTAGTTGTCATTCTCAAGGAAGAGTCAGTCTCTGTGCTGGGAGAAAGTGTGGGGATTTCATTTTGCAAAATACAAACCAACAATCAATGCAACGGGTCACATATTTGCCTGACATTGTAAGTTGTTAATATGCCAGCTACCTGACAAGAAAAAAATTGACAAAGAACAGTAACTCCAGAGTGGCGAGGTCCATCACCTCTTCATCCTCACTTGAACAGACAGTAACCCTCAGGCAAGAGGCATACTTCAATAGGCAATTACCAGCTCACTGAGTTTGCAGACAGCTCTGAAATCATTGTCAAAAACAGAAACAATAGCATGATTTTCAAAAAGCAAAGCACTGGATCAGGAATAATTTTTAAAAAGTGATGTGAGAAGTGAAGGGAAACCGTATGTGTGACATGTCTGTTGAATCGTAATCCAAACCGGTACCAAAAATCAGATTACATCCCTACTGGTGACCAATGGAATATTTAGGATATAAGGTTTTATTTACACTACACACAGGCTGCACGTAAGATGAAATCCATCATCATCATGGATTTATTAATCGCCTTCTAAACAACCATCACAAGGCAATTTACTCATATTAAAAACAGTTTTTTTAAAAAACCCAAACAGCAAATATATTTAAAACAAGGCTGAAACCCTAACAAAGTAAGACAGTCATGGTAAAGACCTATTTATACAGCTGGGAAAGCCTGTCTGAACAAAAAGGGTTCACAGCATTAGTACTCCAACGTATCTTGCTCCCCCATTGATTTGGGGAGAGGGTTCTCTAGTGCACTGGTTCCTCATGGAGAGCAAGCCCAGCCTGTGTGAATTTTGCTTCAGGATGAGAATAGAAATTGTGCTCCGGCAGCACGGTGGCAGCAGGAGGCCTCATTAGTTAAAGTGGTGCTTCAGGTTAAGAACAGTTTCAGGTTAAGAACGGACCTCCAGAACGAATTAACCCGCTTGCAGTGGTCTCGTATATAAATTATAAACTTTTCCCATTCTTTTTTGAAATTCTTGTATTCTTGATTTCTGAGCTTCCCAGTTATTTTTGCCATTTCAGTATAGTCTATCTCATCTTGATTTGCCATTCTTCTCTGGTCGGGGTTGACTCTTCCTTCTGTCTCTGTGCCAGTAGCATTTGTGTTGGCCATCTCTTTATTGATGGAAAGGTCCATTCTCCCAACAAAAGAGGATCTGCCAGGCTAAGCTTCTCCAACCAGTTTGCTCTCATTTTCTGCAGAATCCAGTCTTACAACTACAGAATCACCGGGATGGAGGAGACCATGAGAGTTCTTTAATCCAACCCTCCATTTCATTACAATATGTAAGGTATCTTAAACCTAAAAACATGTACCCACTTCTTCTTAGCATCCATGATATTTAAGGCTTGTCAAGTACACAGAAATAATAGAACTGTAAAATTGGAAGGGACCACGGGCATCCTCTAGTGACACCCCCTGCAATACAGAAAAATCTTTCGCCCCATGTGGGGCTCAAACCCACAACCCAGAGATTAAGTGTCTTGTGCTCTACTGACTGAGCCATCCTCACGTTAGATGATTCTATATGAATGATCAGGTGGCCGGGTGGGATGGTGCTGCAGATTCAAAGACAGCAACAAATGTTGAGTCCAGTATGAGGAATCCTTTCTCTTCACATGCACTGTCAAAAACGTACTATTTTTAAGAATACCCATCTCAGATTCATTCATTCATATATGATGCTTGCTCCCAAGATTAGCTGCTCTACAGAATGATGACACATGAATTCAACATACTAGAGAAATATAGACACTGACATCATGTTCAGTTGGGATTGAGATGCTAGCTGGCACACGCTCGCCTTCCTTGGAAATAAATTGGCTGTCTCTTTTTCAACTTTGGACTGATCTGCTCACTCAAAACGGCATGTTTCAAATGGCAGAAGCAAATGGTATTAAATAGCAATTAAGGGTAAAATGTTCTCATTGATTGCAAATGCAATGAAGAATAAAAAAAAGAGCTCAGCAACCTACAGCTATAATGTCAAGATTTAATAGAGTGGGAGGTTTTTGTTTGTTTGTTTTTCCTTCCTCTTTGGGAACATGGAAATGTGATGCAAAGGTCTCAACACACAGAGACTTCACAATATTCGTAGCCTTCCACAGAGGTTTGCAAATTGACCGATATCTCGGCGAAACGTCAGATTTACGATGGATGGGTTTTTACAGTTTCCACAGACCTTGGAAAGTGTATTGGGGCAGGAGGGGGGGTCGTTAGGGTTGGACCATAGCTCATTAGCAAAATGCATGCTTTGCAAGCATAATGTTGCAGGTTTAATCCTTGGCCTCTCTGGATAAAAGGTTCAGTTAGCCAGAGTAGGGGAAGATGACTTCACTACCACCATTGAGAGTAGACAGTACTAGGCTAGCTGGATAAATACAGGGGTCTCCCCACATATGCATGGGGCTATGTTCCTAGGTACCACACATATACATGAAACCACTTATCATGGGGAACACCAAAAATCCACAAAAATCCTCCAAACTCCACCACCACCGCTACCCCTCAAACTTTTCTCAAATTCCAGCTCTCCACAGGCCTCAAAGGTCAGTGCAAAGTCTCATGAGATTGCATTTGCAAAGGCTCCTGGGATTGCTAGCCATTTCCTCGCTCTTTTGCCCCATTTTTGCAGTTTTCCCACTCTTGGGGTGCCATTTTTGCCCTTTTTGAAGCCCTTTTGCAATTTAAATCAATTTATTTAATCATTTCCCGGTGCCAAAAGCATACGAGGTTGTGCGTGTGAGTCAAACGCACATAAGTGGGGAGACTCCTGTAGTCTGACCCGATTTAAGCCATGGTGGCTGGTGCCCACAGGACTGGCAGGGTGGCAATATGGGCGGCGCCAAAACCAATAACAGGTGGCGCCAACTAGTTGTTGTTTTGTTCCCATGCTACTCCCTACTGAGTTCTACGATAGCAGCATTAAGACCAGTGAGGAGGAAGCTGGCAATGGGGACTTGTTGAAGGCAGAGAGAGGCTGGAAAGGGGAGTGCCCCATTCTCCCTAATGGACCAGCCTGCACTGGATTCAAGGCAATTTCCTCTCCCTGTTATAATAAAAGGCAGCTTGCTCATAAGAAAAAGCAACATGTTTAGCCAGAGTTTTCCTTTCCTCCAAAGGTAGCATTACCAGACGCACAGGATGCTTTGCTCATAATAACACAAGCAAATTATTGAGAATAATTTGTTTAGTGGGGATCATTAGGCACTCCAAAGACAGAACTACTGTATACACAAAGGGTAGGATGTCGTTTTGCAGATGACTCGCAAGCTGTCCTTTGCTCACGACAAGGAATCACACAGGAGGGAACGTTTCTTTGGAAGCAGCCTTTGCAAACATACAGCTGATTTTTGTCTTAATTTAGATCATCCCGCCCCTCCCCCCGCCTCCCCGTCATTGCTAAAGCTTTGCTGTCTGATAAACAGGTAGCAGAGCTCATGATTATGCCAGGAGGGATATAAAGCTATTCATGCTGTCAGAAATAATCTCCTGGAGTTTAAAGATGGTCGTTAATTTAGAGGGGGCCTGCGCTGGCACTGTTTGTCATTTTCCTACCCGGTTTGCCTTTCCTTGTCTCGGCGCCTTCCCGTGTTGTTCTGTGTACTTTTGCAACCCACAAACATGAAGAGGAGCACAGGAATTGCACGAAAGCATTCCCCTCTGGCATATTCACTTGCCTGCAGGTCTCCTTCCAAAAATAGGAGGAGCACCTACCCAGGTTTGGCTCTGGGTTTTCAAGGAGACCCTGGGCAATACACTCTTAGGGCAGCAGTAAGGATCCACCTCATGAGAAGAGAAGAGCCCCTGGAAAAACCCTGATGTTGGGAAAGATGGAGGGCACAAGGATAAGAGGATGACAGAGGACGAGATGGTTGGACAGTGTTCTCAAAGCTATGAACATGAGTTTGACCAAACTGCGGGAGGCAGTGGAAGACAGGAATGCCTGGAGTGCTCTGGTCCATGGGGTCATGAAGAGTCGGACACAACTAAACGACAACAAGGAACTAGGTCCAGGTAAAAAGCCAGATCCTTATCTTCCTCCATTTCCTGTGGGTCAAGGTGCCCCCCTCTCCAGGAAGCTTCCCAGCCTCTGTAGCCCCTCTGTCATTACTGTTGTTGATGCCCATCCCTTGGCCCTGACCCTCTGGGAAAAATCTACAACGCTGTTCTGATGGAAAGGACAATGGAGGTGGAGGCCTCTTCTCCTTCTCCTTGCTCCTTGATCACTGCCAAGCACAAAGAAGAACAGTTAGTGGCAACAAACAAGAGTAGAAGGCAGGGTAAATAAATAATTGAGATTGGCAGTAGTCCCTCTGCCATGGGCGTAGACAGGATTTTTGTTACGGGGGGCAGAACCTCAGATTTGTATTGATTTGTATTGTTTTGTATTGAATTCGTATCGATTTGTATTGATTTGTATTGATTTATGGGGGCAGCTGTCCCCTGGCTACGCCCATGCCCTCTGCTGGTGTGTCAGTCTTGACATATGCCCCTTTATCAACTTGCCACTGGAGTTCCTTGCCAGTGAGTGGCAAACCATGTGATTAAACAAGTTTTGTTTTTCAGATGGTGATCAACAGGGCCTGTCAATTTAGAAGGTGATCAACAGGCAATTTAGAGCAGATAAATAATAGAACAGCAGGAATAAAAGAGGAAAGCAGTTTACCTTGTTCTTGAAGGGGAAAGGATCCATCAGTAATTAGGCATTTCTTTCTCTTCTCCCAGCTCTTACTGTCTCCTGCAGCAATGTAAATGGAATGTGGGGATAAGAATAACTTCACTCAGGGCAGGTCCAATATATTTTGCTGCCTGAGGCGGAATAGCAAATGATGACACACACCTTCCTGCAAGTTAAGATGCACAGTCCCCCAAGTTCAGTCCCTGCGGCAGAAAATTAAATAACTAACCATTTCCTGCCCTTTCATGACACCAAAATCAGCTGCCTGAGGCAGCCGCCTCTGTCTAATGACAGGGCCAGCCCTGATTAATTGGAGAAGATTTTCCTAATGGGAGGAATTGTGTTCTACCAGCTTGTCTAAGACACTTTGGGATGCTTGGTGTCTCCTCCGGATTTTCATATATATTTATTGACTTAGGATTTAAAAATTTTATTTGTTGCTTTCCCAGGAGAGCACGCTCGAGGCAGTGTACAATTCAACACCCATATAAATACAATAGAATACCATAAAAGTATAGAAATCAATAAAACAACATCAGAGCATTCAATGAAAAGCAACAGTGTTCATTCATAGTCCCAAATCTCATTTTAAAAGAGAGGATTTCATCTGCTTCCTAAATACAGTAGGAGTTTGCAAACTTGATTCAGGACAGAGTTCCGGAGGGACGGTGGAATGAATGACAGATAAAACCCTGGCCTTTGCCTCCATCAGTTAAACATCACAGATTTGATGGGACAAAGAGCAGAGCATCCCCTGCAGGTTTTAAGAACAGCGTGGGGTTTATCTAGTTGATGCAGGCATGTGGCAGATGAAACTGAAGCCTGTTCTGTGTGTATCCAAAGTCCCGCACACGGGTCATTCCGTTTCAGTGCCGTTTCGGCCAACAGGTCAATTTCTCTGTGTCTGCTAGTTTCTGGATTGAAACTGCACCGAAAAATGCTTCCAGCGGGGTGCAGAGGTGAGGTGGTAGTTGCTGCATTACGAGATGGCCTCCCGCCACTAAGACTTAATAATGAATAAGGTAGGCTGAGATCAATTCATTTATTTCAGAGTCAACTATCTGCCATTCGAAATGAGCTTTAAAACAAATAAAGTGGAGTATTGATGCAGTTAACCCAAGCGTGGCTCTGTTCACTGATGTGAATCCTTTCCAATCCATTTACATAAGCACTCTCCTTTATGCCGCATCTTTGCTGTGAATTCTTGCCAATTCTCCCTGAACTGTGGGGCAAAATACTCTTTCCTCCTCCAACACCGCCACCATCCAACCACCTCCTCCTCCTACTCTATACTGCTCAAAAGGCTCCATTTCAATTTCAGTGCACACTGTAAAAGGAAGAGATTTGGGAATCCTTTGGTTGTTTTGCCTGCTCGTACTGAACTGTCTATCGTCTCCGAAGCTTGTTAAAGAAGATTTAACATAATGAGTGGCAGCATGCTCGTTAAAATTGGGTGGGGGCTGATTGGGGGATTTGAGGCAAATGAGCGCAAAGTTTTCAGCCGCTCGCGTTGCAGTCAAAGATGCTGCACAACAAATCCCCACAGGAGCCCTCCGAGTTTGCTGTGTTATTAACGAGTATGTGTGATTGGTGCAAGTGAGTCATGCCGAGTTGTGGCACATTCCTGTATTCTTAAATGTCTCTTTACAGCATGTGTCAATATGGCAAGGTTATAACTACCAGACACACAGAGACCGGGACGCTGACAGGGAAGATGTTGAGAACAGCAGCGTGCTGGCAATCTGAATATTTAATATGCAGACTGTTGTTTTTTAACTCTTCCCAGGAAAATATTCTCAAAACAACGTTTCGCCGCGCCGTAGCAATT